ATATATATATATCATTAGCTAAATAACTCATTTAATAAACATAGGAACTAACACAAAATATACATTTACTGTCACACATTATAGCGGTTTAGCCTTGACTCTTTTTTTATGTTAAAGATGTTTGCCGTCTATCTGGTTCAAGAGGTCTGCCTCTCCAAAAAATGGCTACGGTTTGATCATTTTAGCAGATACTGAGCTAAAATTTGGTGTGGTAGTAGCTGAGACTGATCCCTGAAGATGTACTCTGAATGGTAAAGATCTGTGTTTCTGATTCAACGAAATGTAAATATTGGATGTRCGTCTTTAAGTGATTAACCCAATTTAAATTGGTGTGGTACTWGCTTAGAGTCAGAGTCATTCGCAACACACAATCTTGTGTTTTTGCCTGCAGTGTGAATGTGYTCTTTGGTGTGAAAGGAAGCGGGCGACATGCATTCTTTCAAGGAATGCAAGGCCTTTAACCAKTTTATAATTAGATCAAGATTGAAATGAATCTCAACACGCCTCCTCCACTCTTGTGCAATAGCTGTTTGAACCCTGCAGCTATTTACTCACACAAACGAGTGGAAAGCTAAGAAAAAAAAGAGGATCAAAGCAACTGCTTTTGCACCAAACTGAAAGAAAGAATTTGTTTATTTTATCAACTCACAGCAGTCGTTTCCACAACTGCGCTGTGAAAGCGCTTCCTTTTGTTGTTCTGCACCAGAAAGGGCTGAAACTTGAGACAAAAGGCTGCAACGAAAACCTGCAAGAGTTACAAGGCTTGTGTGTGTGTGTGTGTGTGTGTGTGCACGCATGGAGGGTTAAGTGTCGAAGATCCTCTGTGCACGATCACGGCCGCGGGCACGGAGCCAAAATGGCCTCATGTTTCGCAGATGGGGCGAGGCGGATGAGGGTACGTGACTAAACATCTTGCTTCCTCTTTCCAACGTCACATGGACTTGCACAAACATATCCTGCTTTGTGTCTGCAGGTTTCAGACGCATTGCCTCACCCAGAAGCCCCAGGCTAAAAAGCTGCAACGAGCTGGAATCGGACCAGATGAGGAGAGAGGTGGGGGTGGAGAGGAATCTGAACTGCCGGGGACACTCCTACATGTTTCAAAATCTTTTAAAAAACACTTTTACCTCAGGGGATTTTGGCATCCAGATTCATCTTTTCCTTTCATGTAAAACGTCTGACTCAACTCTGAAGCCATTAATCCCTTTTTCATTTTGACAACAAGCGTTTGTTGATTCCAGGCGTCTGCTAGTAAAACATCTGTTTAATGAAACTCAAAGTAATCACTGGCTTACGTCTAAAACTCATTAACATTTACAAAATTTCAGCCTTGACCTCTTTTATAAGATGGCTTCTCAACGTAAGATGATTCTACTTTAAAACTGGCTTAAAATAAAGCTTAGATTTCAGTTTTAAGTGGTGGCAAATTCACATTTGTGAGTACGTGTGAGTGTAATATTCAACAGTGTAACCCCAGTCCCATTCAAGTTTACAACAGGCTGGAAATCCCCACCTCATGACAGAGCTTCCTGGTTACAGGCTATTGGAGGCGCCTTTTTTTTCTTCTTCTTTTTATAACGCGCCAGGAAAATATTATCTAAAAGAATTCACGCTGGTGAGCTGACACAGAACAGGAGGGGGTGGGGATATGTGGGCTGTAAAATAAAATCCCTCTCCTAAAATAGATATATAGCTCTGTAAACGTTGTACAGCTAGAACAAAAGAGGGGAAAAAATGTGCCTTTTTAACGTTGTGTTACAGTAGAGCTCGGTATCTTTCCTAACAGGGTCATTCGTCGCACAGCAGCGGTGGTAACAGCCACACTGCGATGCTGCGCATTGAGAAAAACAAGCCACAGCAGCAGCAGATAGGGCTCTAAATTTAGGACAAAGCAGCAGCARCAGCAGAAAACGGGAGCCATTTTTTAATCGCCCGCCGTTCAAGTCGAAAGCAGAGAGAATACGGTTTTGATGTTGTTTGTATTGTTACCAAAATACTTTATGAACCACTGGACCAGAGGCGCCACTGAGGGGGGAACGGAGTGGGGCAATGACGACCCCTAAATTAAAATTGTTAGCCCCCCCAGTTTTCTCTTCTTGAATACCAAGCTTTATTTTGGTGTGCATTTTTAATGTCCTCTAGCTATTTAGGTTTAGTAAAACCTCATGAACATAAACACAAATGTACTTAGCTGTGTTCATTCAAAATTAAAAATGGCTGCCACAACTAACGCAGCATAAATTTGAGCAAACTATTTCCCACAGATGTTGAGGTTTCAGAGAGCAACTACACAAAATTTCAATTAAATATTACTAAAACTAACTCGTTTTTGTTTGATCAAAATTCAAAATGGCTGCTGCAGCTAACTTAAAGAGTTTAGCAAACTCTGCAATATGAGATTAGCTGGAGGTTTCTGCAAGCTATGATACAAATTTTCAGCTAAACTGTACTAATATTAATAGAGTAGTGTTTGTTCAAAATTCAAAATGGCTGCCACAGCTAACTTAGCATAGAGTTTAGCAAACTATTAGCAACAGGATGATACCTGGAGGTTTCAGTGAGCTATTACACAAAATTTCAGCTAAATATTGTTAATAATAACAGAGTTGTGGCGATTTGTTCAAAATTCAAAATGGCTTCCGCAGCTAAGTTGGCAAAGGGCTTAGAAAGATGTTAGCATTAGGAGGTTAGCTCGATATTTTATTCAGCTAGTACACAAAATTTTAGCTAGATTTTACTGATATCAACTGAAATGTAGCCATTTTTTTACATGTGTTCGAAATTCAAAATGGCTGCCAGTGCCACAGCTGTCGTAGCATACAGTTTAGCAAACGTTTAGCGATAAGACGATGGCTGGAGGTTTTAATCAGCTATTTCACAAAGTTTTGGCCAAATATTACTAATAACAACTGAGCTACAGCTGTTTTTGTATTTGCCATATAGCTCTGGCAGCCATTTTGAATTTTGAATAAATAACATCAAATTGTTAGCAACAGGTTAGCTTGAGATCATAACCACCACACTAAATTTAAGCACAACAGCTCTACAAATAGCCGTGTTTGCCAAGCTGGCTGCGGCGGCCATTTTGAATGTGCTGACCCAAATAACTAGTCATAAAGGAATATGCAATGTTTACTTTGAGAGATTGTATTTTTACAAAGCGTGTACTGTTTTGTTAAGCTTTCTATATGCAATCCTGTGGATTATTTTTTCTGTATACATACAGATATATATGCACACACACTAAATATATATATACATACACACATATAGACACACACACATATATAT